GACGACGACGACAACGACGAGGACGACGATAATAGCGATGATGATGACAGCGAGGAGTCACAACCAGTGATACGAAGAAATCCTCCTCGAGACCGACAGCCACCTCCCTGCGGAACACATTCACGTCGCAATCATCGATAGATTTTGTTTTTTTATTATATTTGTATTTAGTACTTTTTTATTGTAGTTGTTTATTGGACTTTTTTTATTGTAATTTTTTTATTATTTATCATTTAATACTTACTTTAATTCGTTAATATGGTTGAATTGATTTTAATTTATTTTGTTAAATTTGTTGGACTTTTTGTTAATTTATTTTGCTTAATTTTATTTAGTACCATTTAATATAAGTTATTGTAATTTGGTTATCATTTACCATTTAATACTTATTGTATCGTTAATATCAATTATTTGTTAATATAACACCAACGTCCAATCTCGTATAATTGTATTATTTTTTAATCTTCATCAGCGGTTATCGAATAACATTAACTTGAAGTAAATGCAAATTAAAGTACAAGAATTATTATTTGATAAACCAACTTGGAAGTTCGTTGTAAAATGCATCTCATTCGCCATGAAGTTTGACAATGGCATTTTGTTTTGCCAACCAAGCTTTTTTGTAGGAGACAGTATACCCATACTAAGATTATATAGCTGAAATCAACACATCAATAGCTATATGAGAGCTTGTTTTTACCATGGGCATGATGGCTTGGCATATCATTTCAGAGTCCAAGTTGGGATGATCTTGGTTGACCCCTCCAGCACAACACGTGTGAGGACCGTTGTATACTGTTAGTTCTCATATGTTGTTTTTCCTCTTCCTCTTCGATACGCGAACCATCCAATTGCATCTGTTTTCACGTCGGGCACAGTGATATACATATTTTTCTGTCGTGGAGCGATCGACTCTGGATTGAACAGAATTACGAATATTGTAATTTTTTATAGCCATCATCGCTTCTTCTTTGCTTGAAAACTCCATGCCTAAAGATAACTCACTATTATTTATTGATGAGTAATATCCATAGTCACCGAGATGAGGCATATCCACAAATTCTGGCTCGTACATTGCACTATAATCAGCTTCATACATGTGTGCTGGAGGGTCAATTTGTGACACATTTCCTAGAACTTCATCTACATCATCATCATCATCAGAGTTGAATTGCGGTGATTCTGGATGAATGAATAGTCCAGTCTCAGCACCATCCGCACCAGGCTCACGAAGCGGTTCTTCTGGTGGAGATGATGGTTCCTCCATGCTTTCCACATTTAGGTTGAGGAACTTACTACTTGCACGCCTTCCCCTTGAACTGAAAGGCATATCGATATTGAGATAGAAAAAGCTCGCAGTCGAATGCCTCCTCCTGGAGCTTGAAGCCATCGTGTCAAATGGAAACTGCACAGATTGTTGCCTCGATGGCATCTCCATATTAAGGTCAAAGGTATTTGCAGATGAATGCCTTCCCCTTGAACTGGACGTGATGTTGCCATACAGATTGTTCGTCGACCCACCTCGGTACATATCGTAAGGAGTTGCGGATGAATGTCTCCCCATTATGGCATTAAAATCATTACACATTACTATCGTCGGGTTGTCAACTTGTTCAGCCAGCCCATTGTGGGAGCTTAATGATTGACCCCGAATAGCACGCACTTGAGCAAAATTTGCATACATCTCAATATCAACGTTTGAATAATTACTTTGAGCTTCAACCATCATTTCAACATCATCATTGTTCGAAAGTTCGAACGTTGTATAAGTTAATGGCAACAATGATGTTGGAAATCTGTACTGCAACGACGACATTCTTCTACTACTTCCAACATGAATCTTCCTCGAAATCTTTGATATCAGCTCCTCAAGAGTTATGTTTTCTCTTGAATGATATTTTAACATGCTCATTTGATACGAAAACAACGTCGGTTTCATCTTCTCGAATTTCATCATCATAATAAACAATAGCTGAAAGTCGCGTCATTCTTTAAGTTTAAAAGTGCGGCAATATTATATCTACAAAAAAACAACTGAAACAAACATGATTAAATAAATAATATATGAACGAAAATATAACACTATAAATTTTTTACACATAAACGTAAATAATTTAAATAATATAATTTTATATTATTACCTGCACCGCAAAACTATTTCAACGTATGTTCCTCTTTCCAATTTTACAAACACAGAAATTAATTGACAACAATTAGTATAATATTTTTTTTCATATAATCATAATAAACAATAAGTATAATAAAAAAATTATAACAAAATTACCTTATAACGAAAAATCGAACGAACTTCTGAATCAAATATAAGAAGATTGTCGGATTGTTGTATTAATTTTTTTCTGTTGAGAGGAGATGTGAGGAGTTCCGAGGGGAAGGGTATTTATAGTCGAGAAAAGTTATTATAATTATACAAGACGCGGTACCTGCACCGCGCCTTACATATTTATATCAGATAAAGCTAAGGGGTCGCGCCGAATATAATTGTGTCATATTCACAGGTAAGGCGCGGCCCCTGCCCCGCGCTATACCCTACGTGGCCTAAGGCGCTCCCCAGGTGCTGCGCTATACACACGTGTATCCAATGTCAGCATAAGGCGCTCCACCACGTGGCGCCAAATCAACGTTAAGCGCGCTGTAGGGGGCGCCTTTCTGCAAAGGGTGTTAGATCGGGAAATATAGTCTGAACGGTGCCTGATCGGGAATATTAAATGGAAAATGTGATTTTTCGGGATAAACGCCAATCCAAATAACCTTTGCTTCCATTATACTAAAAGATTAAATTTATTAAATAATTTCTAATTAAAATTAGAATAAATTGGTAGCTAATACAAATAATGATAATCAAATATATTACTAAATAATTTTTTTAACTATCACGTTAGTAAGTCTATTAATAGTTAACATTTGATGGCTTAACAAAAATCAAATTAAAATTTCTATGACCTAACTGACAATATTTTTAATTTAGTGATCAAAATAGCATCGAGAGAATAGTTTAATGACCATATGTAGTTTACTCAAAAAGTTTATACCTACGTAACCTTGGCTAATTTTGATTTGGCCGTCAGTTCGTCACCTACCAGCCTTTATAAATCAAATGACTAATTTACCCTCAATCTTATTATCTATGATTGAGTTTTGGGTAATTGAATTATTTAATCGGAACAAATTAGAAAATATGGAGTATGTAAAAAAACGAGTTATTACACCTACTAAAATGTAAGAGACCGATATCTCACCAAAAAGGTAATTGCACAGTTGATTAAATATTACTTATATATCATTATAAAATTCATAAAACAAATAGAATAGAAATATTATATAACCTACCATTCTAAGGACGATTAGGTCATTTAATTAATTTAAAGAAGACAAATTATTTATTCTTTTAATCCTATTATCGTTAATAGATTTTTCTCGCTATAATATAAATTTTAGATTTTTCACAATTATATATACTGGGGGAGAGGGCTTACTAAAAAATAAGCGTCTAAATTATACTAAAATAGACTTTTGGTATTTATTTTTTATTTGTTAAAATATTTTTTTGATGTTTTTTTATTATACTTTTAGGTCATACATTTAAAAAATATGTTAAGTGACAAGTGTTACGTTTATATATATTTTTTATTTTTTTAAAAAAATAAAATATTATTGAAAAATATTTTTTAAAAATCTCAACGTGACACATGTCACTTAACAGTTTTATAACTGTTGATACTTAAAAGTGTAACGAAAAAAAAATTAGACATTTATTTTTAACGAAAAAAATTTTAGGCACAAAAAGTCTAATTTTGAGTTTAGTTTAGGCACTTGTTTTTATATTAAGCCTGGAATGATTATAAAATAGTATATGCTCAAAATTTTATTAATTAATTAAAAAGCACACATATCTTACAAATATAACTTTTCGAATCCGAAATCTCTAAAAATATATTTTATTTTATCACTAAGGTCGTTTGATGATTTCTAATTATATATATGATGATGAGTTAATATCCATTTATATAATATAATTTTTTTTAGTTTTATATAGATTTATGACCGTTGAATGAGTAGAAATAGAATTATTTATTTTATAGTAAATATCATCTTATGTTCTCTATTAATCTCAATCGTTTATTTATATATTCATCTAACAATATTAAAATGTATAAAATATATTTTTATAATATTAAAAAATAAATAATAATAAAAAATTATTTATAAATTAATTAATTTAATATTTTTTTATTTAAAAGTATATAAAAACAAAAGAATGTTGATAATCCATTGAATAGAGTATTTAGGGGGTGTTTGGATTGGGGAATGTGGGATTCCCATGGGAATGTAATCCACATTCCCCCGTTTGGTTAGCCCGGGAATCCTATTCCCGGTAATGTAAGATTACCAATAATGGATTTTTTGGGGTATATTACCGGGAATGTCATTACCTCCCTTTCCTTAGGTATTGTTGGATTACCGGCGTTTTGGACTAAAATGCCCTTAAATTTTTATTTTTTTTCAAAAATATATTTATTCTGTCATCGAATAATAAAAATTTTACGAATGTTAAATTACAAATTTATCCTTAAATTATTTTAGATTTACAAAAAAAAAATCTATAATTAAAATTTTATATAAAGTTCAAGGGTTTAAATAAAATTTTTACCCTTTCATTAAACTTTTTTTTTTTTAATTTTGTAAAAAATATAAATATTATGAATTTAATTTTTTTAAAGAAAATATATAAATATTTTCCAACTTGTAATATTACACAAATATATAATTAGGACAATTTGGTCAAATATACATTCCAATAATCTTTTATTCCTTTAACCAAACACGGTAATCTTACATTCCTGCTAAGCCAACCAAACACAAAATACAACATTCCCAGTAATGCTATTTCTTGGTAATCTTACATTCCCACTGGTAATCTTATATTCCGTGAACCAAACGCACCCTTAATGTAAAATGTAAAAGACGATAATAGTATGCCAACTATTTTAATACCAAATTCCGAAAGACTCAGTATATGACTCTGAGTTGAGACAAAGATCGCCTAACCAAAGAGAAAAATATCAAAGCCATGGCTTTGCAATTGTGGGAGACTTTGAAGGAGGCGATTACGGCGTATACGGGTCTATCTCCGGCCACTTTCTTCACCGTCCTTGCTCTGTTGTGGGCCGTTTACTATGTAATAACGGGTCTATTCGAGTCGTCAGATGATCACCATCAACTCTCTAGGGCTTTGGAGGAGCAGATGGAGCCGCTCCCACCTCCGGTTCAGCTGGGCGAGGTATCGGAGGAGGAACTTAAGCAATGTGATGGGTCGGATCCCAAGAAGCCACTCCTCATGGCCATCAAAGGCCAGATTTATGATGTTTCTCAAAGCAGGTTTGTATCTTTTCTTCTTCCCGGGATGAAAAATTGGGTCTTTCTTCAAATTATTTTGAACTTCAAAAGGGAAGAAAAACGCTTTCTGGGCTTTGATTTATTTATCTTAGATACTGCTTTTTTTAGGTTTTCTTAGTTATTTTTATGTTATTGTGCTCCCCACTTGCTTTAATTCGCTTTTAAACTCGAGAGCTTTGCTGGTTGCTGACTTTTGTTCCTCTGGTGATTTATTTTTTAATTTTCAGTTTATGAGGATTAAGATTCTTTGAGTTGCCTATGATTTGCTATCATATTGTACAATTAAAATATTGTAAATGTGTTGGTATATGTAATTCCAGTGATGGGTTGCATTTGATTGTTTCAATATTGGATGATAAGGGTCAAAATCCTGAGATGATTGTGATAAACTGTGAGGGATTTTGCTAAACAGGTTCTTTGTAGCTCAAATGTGAATCTTTTAGTACATGGTTCCTTGTGTATTTAAACGTTCTAACTTCGACCCTAAATTGCATGTTTTAACCGAGTGAGAATGATACCTATCGAGTGGCTTCGGTGGTAAAGTGGAATATTGTTCAAGTAGTTGCGGTTGTAGGTTGTGTCCCCGTTGTCAATAGGTAATCAACTGGTGCATTTAGTTGTTCTCATGGTTTCTCATGTTTTGCATTGTTTGTAAATTATGGAAAAGGTAATCAACCGGCATGGGTTTTAGAGTCATTTCCTTTGTAAGTGTCAAAGTTTAGTACAACAGATGATACTCTCGTGTCGGGAAGAATCGAGTATTGCGTTTTTCAATTGATCATTTTAAAAAGGCATGGCTAATCATATGCATGCAAAATATCATGCGTGAAATGAATAATAAGATTCTCTTGGCTGTAATCTAAATGTAATCTTCCTTGCAGAATGTTTTATGGACCGGGTGGACCTTATGCATCGTTTGCTGGAAAGGATGCCAGCAGAGCTCTTGCAAAGATGTCATTTGAAGAAAACGATTTAACCGGGGACATATCCGGTCTCGGTCCATTTGAATTGGACGCTTTGCAAGATTGGGAATACAGGTTCATGAGAAAATATGTTAAGGTCGGAACCATCAAGAAGACTGTTCCAGTAACAGAAGGGGATGACAGTGGTGAAGCCTCGGGAGCTACCGAGAGTGATGCGAAGCTGGCTGAAGATGGTCCATCACAAAGTGCAGTTGTCGGAAATGAGGAAAAATCTTCTGGGTCTGATGGTAAGGAGGAGTGATATGTTCTTGGTTCGAACGAGTCACAGGTCTTCTACCAGAGATGTCGTAAGATATAATGTTTAAATTAATGCATTCTGTGAATCTTTATTCCATATATAAGCTCTCTGTATACAGGTACTCTTGTAGCAAACTTACTTCAATATTCAGTTCATCATAAATAATTGGGGATGTTAAAAACTTACTTTCCGGTCGGTTCGAACTTATTTATTTTGAATACATGGAGACCAAGTAGGAACGTTGGCTCTGTAATTTTAAGTACACCTCTCAAATTGATTTCTTTCTCATACAATAAGCATCTTTTACAAGTAGCATAAATGAGAATTGAGAAGCCATTCCCATGGCGACAACTTGCAAGACATTACTTGTATTTATCCGAATTTCACATATCACTAAAAAATAGAAATAAGAATAACTCAATAGTTTAGAGTTTGGAAAAATGATTTAAGTTATAGGTTTTAATCAAACATTAAACCTGATGTGAATCCTGATTTATTTACAGAAGCTACAAAAACAGGGTGAAGCAACCGCCTTTGAAAGCTCTAATTCTGACCAGTCACGCCTGCACGCATTCTCAAAGTTTACGTTCTCTTGCTTCTCTCCATTATCTCCACCAACCACTCACACCTTCTTTAATCCCCATCCCGCATTCAAAAACACAGTAATGATTACATTTTTTGTCGGGAGAACTAGGATGATTGACATTAATGTTCATGCCCATACAGGACTTTATAAACCATGGGGTGAATGGTCATACATACAGGCAGAAAAATTGAGCTCAATCTCGATGGAGATCAGAGATGATCATGATTTAACTTACCCATCAAAAGCAGAAGCAGCCTCATACATGTATACCCTTTCATCCAACTTTTTAAGATCTAGGTATCGGGCAAGTTCTTCAGCTGATAAAGCTTCAGAGAGATCCTGCATTGAAGCACAGCTGTTAAAGCCATGATCACCCGATCAAATTCATAGAAGATGGAAGAAACTTATGACTGGTATTTCTCATAAAAAGAATAAAGGGAAGTCCTATATAACAGTTACTAATCTCGAGAATTTTTCCATTTTGGAACATATCTTCCTTTTACCTCATACTTTCTAAATGCCAATAAGTTTGTTTAAGATTCCAAAAAGCCAAAAGGGAAAAAAATGCAAAACACAAGGCACTGAATGCAACAATAAATAAGAATGCCATAAGGAGAGAGATGCAATATACAAACTAGTATGTGGCATAGATGCTTAAAAAAGGGAAGAATCTTCATTGTCAATGCCTAATACTAATATATAAATATATATATATATATATATCACGGAATTTAGGGATTTGGGGTTAACATTTAGAACTAGTAGTACCTGCTTGTTTGCTAATATCAAGATAGGGGCTCCCTTAAGATCTTCGTGCCAAAGCACTTTCTCTGGATACAGAATAGAAGGTATTAGTAGGTCAACATATCACCATCACAAAACCTCAACAAGTTCAAAACTGTGATCAATGCCTTGGAACTGAAACAGTATAAGGCCTTTATCAAGAATTAGACATTACTTACCAAGTGCAGATTTTGAGTCTTCGAAACGGGGAGGGCAAGCAGAATCAATTACAAAAATAACAGCGTGTGCCTCTTCATAGTATTTTTCCCAAATTGATCGAAGGCCAGGCTGAGAAAGACGGGTTTTAGCATATGAAGCTTGCTTCGGATACATGTTTAATGCATGACATAAAACTATAAAATCAAATACCAAGTTTAAGCATAAAAACATTCAACTGCATATTGTCAGTTTATCTCCGATATTCATTTCAATACAGTGAACTAAGGTGCTATGAGAAGTTCTATTAAAAATACACTGCAGCTAAATTAGTTATTAGATTGAAAGCTTTCTACTGGACAAAATTATTTAGTCGAATTCAAAAAGCACAAGATATACGGGCATGCAAATCACCATAGTACATAACTAATCTATTGCGTTACTTTATGTATGCACATTCCAGTCACCTGGCCTCCTAGGTCCCAAAACACAAGTTTCGTATTTGACACTTCAATCTGACCAATATTAAGTCCCACAGTTGGAACAATTCGATCAGGTGGTAGGACTTCCAATTTTGAGTATACCGACTTCAACTTCTCCAACAGTCTGATAAACAAACAGCAAAAGAGATCACTGCTTAAAGCCAGAAAGTTAAAACTTTAAGCAATTAATTCAATATATATGAAGCCTAAAACATTCCTGGAAAACCGAAGATATACTTTAAATCCGGATAAATAAGTCGAAAGACATTACCGTTTTCCCAGCCTTGTCAATTCCAAGAATGAGTAAATGAAACTGTCTTACTAAATATGTACTTCCAAAGTCCGTAAAAGAGTGAGAACATCTCATCCTTGTTTACTCTTATCAGTTATTTTTTTCCTTCCCCGCATCATTTTTTGCATATCATAAGGAATTCTAAGAACCGTCTGCAAGAAAAGACCGGCTTTGAACAGGAGCAGGTTCAGACCGAAGACCAAAGGCACAAGGTCTTGTGAACAAAGAAAGCAAAATAAATCCAGAACAGCTTATCCTATAGATGCTGCTTGCTAAGACTGATCTTTTCCCCACTTTTATTGTCATAATTTACAGTCCTGAGTTTCCAAAATAGAAGTGAGTTAACATTAAACAAGAAGAATTAATTAAAAGATCAAAGCAAGGAAATCAAACACAAATAACTCGCCTGGTGAAGTCCTAGACTCCTAGTTTTCATTGCTCAAGTTATTCAGTAACAAATCTTACAGTTTAAGCTAGAAATAAGCCTATCAGACAAGTGCTATCCAGCAAATTATCGACCATCACCATAGAAACAACTTTTGCATCTTTCTTTTCCAGCTTTTTAGACTATTGAATCCCCAACATCTCAAGATGCAACTAACATTCAACATTCATTGTTCCGTTCCAAAATATTAGCATGTCAAATCTTTCGTCGTTTCCTTAAAAGAAAAACTAAAATTTTCATTCGTAAAGAAATCAAAATGAACATTGACAAGAACCGTGAATGAACTAGATCCGATTCAAAAGTGAGAATATAAAGCCGAGATCTCATATCAAACAACAGAACCAAATCAACCAGTGAGCGTGAAAAAAAATAGAACAAAACTAACAGATCCGTAAGATCTTTTTTTGGAAAAAAAAAAAGAATTCATAGCAAGAACGGACAGATCAATATGAAAAAGTTGCCACATATTTAGGTATTTAAAGAAAGAAAAGCTTAGATCCAAACAAATAGAAGTTGGGAAGAAATAAGAGAAATGATCCTTACTTGAAATGGAAATAGATTGCAGAAAATCTGGCTTGGCCACTCCCTCTGTTCAAATTCCCAACCAAAACCTCTCCTTTGAGTTCTTGCCCCCTGCCGTACCTCAGCTTTCGTATTACAGTATTGCCCCTGAGCCACGTCAATGGATCCCATCTCTCTTACGTGGCAAGATCTAAGTTGGTTTGATTTGACCTTTAAGTTATTATTCATTAAATGGTTCTCATTAATATTAATATTAGTTAAATTAGGTATTGCATACAATTTTTAATTAATTTAACTAATAAAAAAAGGTTAAAATGATTTCTATTTCTAAACAATATTTATGGATAAAATATAAACAAGAAGGACAGAATGGGAAACACGTACAAAATCTAATCTACGACCGGGAAAAATAGAAGGCGCCGCTCAAACACAACATTTTCGCGCAACTTTGGTAGTGAAGAGGGCGATCAAAAGGTGCAAATTTCTTTCTGTTTATCTTCTTTCCATTTGAAATCGGTTTCGTGAAAATGGAAAGAATTGAGAATCCTTTTTTTACTGGATTTGTTAATGATTGTTGGAGTTAATGTGGCCGTTTTGGACTTTTATTGTATCTGTTCCCTTCATTTTCTCAACAACCAAACGTAGTTGAATGGAGGATCCTTGGATGAATCGAATCGATTGGATTACTTTTTCCTTTACATTTCGTTCAATGGATTATGATTTCCTTTTTATTATGCAATTTCACGCTTTTGCTTCAATGTTCTTCTCATTCTAGGTTTAATTACTTGTACGAGTTGTATTTCATTCATTTAATTAGGATTTTTCAGTTTCTTAGTTGTCTAATTTATGTACATGCTTTCGGTTTCATTCTCTGATGTTTCTGACTTATAAAATAGTTCACTGGCTTAGACATTGTCCATTTTGCATATAGATTAATTCTATCTGTACTTTTCAATTACTTCAAATTGTAAGATCGGTATTTTTAATAAAGCAATCACTAAAGTCATATTTACTCTACTAAAACTCTTACTAAGAGTCCTACACTATCCTCATCACATAACTAAATTAAATTAAACTAATTCTGGATGCTTCTGCATGCATCAATAATTCTGTGTAATTTTCCCACACATGGAACTATTAACATTTTTTATTATGATGTTTTAGATAGTTTTTCTCTGGAGTTTGAATAGCTAGCCTTCGTACACAATTCGATATCTGAGTCTTGACCTCTGGTGTTTTCTAGTACAGTAATACCTAATTTCTGAATTCACATTTTCATCCACTCACAATATTGTTTTCCTTTCAGCCCATTCAGGTTTGGTTCTTACCTTGCTATCTTAGGCTTTACATAAAATAACAATAAACTAGCCTGATTATAGTATGAATCATCATATCACCTGTCTTATCTGCAAATAGTTTAGACTTTAGATGCTTCATTTTCCATGTATTGGTGTAGATAAAGTGATTATTATAATGTTTCAGGGGATCAGGACTATTTGAAGCTTGCTGCTGACACTCAAAGACAGTTTTCCAGATGTCGTAAATCCGAATTTTTCCATGTTTTTCTTCTATCCTTTCCATTTTCATTTTAGAAGGGGGCGGAATGGGATGATTGGCGGTTAATGTTTACATTTTATATGAAAATTTGTTTTACCATTGTTCGCCAAAACATTTAATATGAAGTTGATGCATATTTGAATCATTTTCTTGCTTTTCTAAACAATCTCAAGTTCTTCCGCTTCAATTCTTTGCCTTTATTCTCCCTATTTAGGTTTCAGCTAAGTAGTTCCAGGTGGCTTTCTTTAACATTTCAACCATACAAATTGTTCAAATTAATTAGGATTCGTGAGGTATTCAGTTAAGAAATCCTCTTAAAACGTAACAGTAAATGGCTCTATTGCACTAGTGGAAATGGGATAAACGTGTCCATTTTAGTTATTTATATGATTTGATGAGTGACCATGCATTTTGTGGATATAGCAGTCATAAGGAACGATTAGTAAACACATCTAAAATTAAGCCTTGTATTACTGCCTCTAGGCTATGGCTGGAGTCCAAATCCAGTTTCTTGAGTCAAGTGGTCTTAGTATTAGCTGCTTTTGTAGTAGATTCCCATTTTGTATTATATTTGTTCATTTTGATTCTCCCATTTTTATTTTTATTTGCTACTGAAGAAAGAATTCTTCTTGTTTTCTTTTTAAGAGTCGCATTTTTCTATGCTGTTTTTGAATCTAGTAAGTAATAAATATTTCTTTGTTGGGGTAACAGTAGACGTGTAAGATGGAATGAGGAAAATCTGGTGGAAATCGAAGCAAATAAACCTGTAAGGCAGAAAATAACTGAACCCAAGACTCCGTACCACCCCATGATTGATGATGATGATGGTATGCGTAGTGCTTACCCTTCATAAGCCTATTATTTCATGAATAGAATGTGTGTAAATTTTCAAAAATGGTGTTGTTCTGTTTTGTTTTAAATATTGTTCTGCTTTTGGTTAGAGCTTTATTCTAAAAATCCAATTACATTTCTCACCTTGTAATCTGGATCTTGGTTGTAGGGTCTTTGTCTCCTGTAGGGCATGGTTTCAATGATTGTATCGGTCTTGCTATGTGGATGCTGAGAAATTACGCTCTGCTTTGAAGGATGTGGCTTCCTCGAGTAGAAAAACAACTGGGTAATCTAGTGGCTGGTCATATTCTGAGGATGAGGCTGACGAAGAAGGTTTGTTAATCATTGCTATTATGTTTTCCTTTTCCCTTGGCATATTTAAAGATGTTTTACTTTCCTTTACGAGGGTTAGCATTTCTAATGACTGGTTTATCAGTTTATCTTCATTTTTTCTTCTTTTGAATAAATTATATGCATTTATTCAGAAAAAACAGCAGAGCTGCTACAAAGTAAACAATCTGCTAGCAAGATACCATCAACAAACAAAACAGAGGAAATATTTCTGCTATTGAACTGTAATCAGACAAGAAACCAACTATATGCACTTCAGATCAAAATGTACTTCCAGTTCACTGATAAATTCTTACCAAGCACTAACTATACCACATGCATCAGATAACCTTTTGTTCCCAGAATCTTTTACCACTTTTTCTGAACCTGATAATCTTAAGTTTAACCAGCTCCTTCACTTCTGCAAGGACCTCCTAATCTGAATTTGTTTGCTGAGTGAACTGTCATTTTTTCCTGCCACACTAGGTAAATGTCAGCACTCTATGCTAGCCTAAGGACAATCGAAAGAAGACCTTTTTTCTTTCAGCTTAGAGACTATCCGCCAGCTCCAGATTCCAGTTTCCAGTTTCCAACTCCTCTTTGCAACGTACTTAGTCTGAGGATCTCTCCTCATATCTCCCTTGGAAAGGCACATTCAAACAAGAGATTATTTCTAGTATCTACTCTAGCTCCTGGCAGAACAAACAAGAACCATTTATGCTCTTTCCCCTACAGACTAACACGTCTTAAGTAAGCAAACTATTGAGAATGGCCATCCAGGCTATGGTGGAATTCTTTGGAATTTGAGGGGGAAACCGGGAAACCAAATTAATATGTGCTAGCTCAGTTACCTAGCCGTACCCTTTCTTGGTTTTCCATGTAAAAGTATCATTTCAAGAAAGTAGTTCTTTTTTTTATTTGGTCGGAAGTTGATAGTTGAAATGCTCAGGATTTACCCCGATCTACATTACGTCTTTTGGTTGATGACTCTGTTTTTGATTTGCTGCCTTGAATTCAATCTGTGGTTGATAGTTTTAAGCCTGTTCTGCTGAAACAGATCGGAGTGTTATGAGTTTTCAGGAACTTAGAAAAGCCCACTATGATGAGTTTTTGAAGATAAAGGAATTTCGAAGTAAAGGTTCTTTCCTTGAGGACGAAGATGATGATGCGGAAGGTGATCCATCGTCATCATTAAGCTCTAGTGTCAAAGACAGAAATGGAAGTAAGCACTGCAACTGTGCCGCAGAAAATCTTCTGCAGGTCCAGCTAATGGATTGTAAAGTCATCCGAACAGGGTCGAGACGTGTAAGCTGATTCTGTTGACCATCCTTCTTGTGGTAGTTTGATGCTATTTTGGTGCCAAGGAAAATATTGGCCATGTATTTTTCCAGTTTTTGACCTAGACTAGTATATAATTTCCCCTAATTTGGGTATGTTTGTATTAAATCTTGCAATATTTCTGTTTTTTTGGGGGAGGGGGTCTTTAACGAATAAGACGGGCAAGGTTTTTGAAACAATGTCACCCTGATTAATATTTGTGTTTATTGGCAAATCGCATAGTTGATAATTTCACTTGGGTTTAAAACTGATGATCTGAGAACATGTTTTCTTTTGCTATTTTTAACCAAATAACGTTACAAATTCGGTTGGGATGTTACCAAATCAAAGATTAATATTTTATTGATTATATTTTTTATGTATTGACTATTCTATCGGAGGATAATGTATGTTTTTTTAGTACACTTGAGCTTGTATCCTTAAATTCATTAACTATTATCAATAGTAAAAGAAAATCTTGTTTTTTAGAATACTCGGGTTCAAATGGTCGCGTCTGTAAGGTATGTCGATTGTAAATAGTTAATAAAAAAATTCAACAGATTCTTGCAAACATCTTAAACTATTGAAATAATAATATACTCTCTATACCTATTTGCTATATGTCTCACGGATTTGATAGACAACTTGAACCATTTCAGAAAACAGCTTAAAAGACCCAGACATGTTTGCATTTGGCCCAGCGGTTTTAGCCTCGTACGTTTGGGTTTCTGGGTGCACTTTTGTGGTTTTTATTTTTGGGTCTACGTTTACAGACCTATATTTTATTTGGTTTATCAAAATAATATATGTTATTACATTATTATTACTTTTGGGACATTTAATATTGTCCATAAAAAATAGATTTTTCTTTCATGTTACAATTTTGTGATGGGAACGATAGATAAAATGGTCATCGATGAATGAACCAAGGAAGAAAGCCAACAACCGTGAATCGTAAATTATCTTTCTATCATTCTCGAGCCAACAATCGTCGTCGAACTGGAAACCAAATCAATCGTAAATTATCTTATTTTAAAGGAAATTAAAGGGTTTTAGACTAGATATATGAAATTCAAGATATTTTTCGACGAAACGAATATCATATTCGTATTTAGGAGCCTAAAGGGAAAAAAATGAGAAAATCAAAGATTTTTAGGTCTGATGATGTTCGGCGATGATGACCAATGGTAGCTGAAAATGACTTCCAATGTGAATTTTTAGTCAAATTTAGAGATTAAATTAATAATTTATCCAAAATTTAAAAGTGAGATTAGTATTTTATTTAAAAGTATCTCAGTAGTTAAAAGAATGATTGTTATTTCTGCACGAATCATGAATGCCATGAGGTCTCAGAATGATGTTCGGTAGTGTAGGAATTGTTGTTATTCCTTGATGTCCCGGGTTCAAACACCAGGAATATCATGAGTGTGAGCGTTCAATGTCAAATGCTTGAGAGTTGTCTTTGAACAGATATTATCTTGTACTTACCCTATTAATAAAAAAATGATACATCATCAACTAATTGCATTTAATGTCAGAATGATTAAAATATTATAAATCGATAATATAAATATTCAATATTTTAATTTTTTTAAATTATAAAAACAAAACTAAACATTTATGAAATGAAAACAATCATTTTGATAGTTTACCCTATATTTACTCTCTTTTTTTTAAATAGCGTAATGATTATAAGATAGTATATGTTCATAATATCTTTTAATATCTCTTAATCATTCACAATATATATTCTACAGTAACCGTTCAAATACAAAACTTTTAAAAAATAATATTTATTTTAACCACAAAAAGCAGTTGATGGATTCTTACCCTATATATACTTAGCTGCCCCAGTGATGGAAGGACAATATCTGTGTGTAGCAGACAAAACATGGGATGCGAATAGGCCTGTAAACGAACCGAACGCACACGAACGGAGGAATGATCATGTTCGTTCATTTAATAAATAAACGAACACGAACATAAACGAACAAAAAAAATTTTGTTCATGTTCGTTCATTAAGGAATATAGCTTGTTCGTTCATTAAGGAATATAGCTTGTTCATATCCGTTCATTTAAATGATAAACGAACATAAACGAACGAACATAAACGAACGTAATCGAACACAAACGAACGAACATAAACGAACTTAATAAATGAACATAAACGAACACAATAAATGAATATAAACGAACAACACAAACACAATAAATAAACTTATTCGAACACAATAAATGAATGTAAAAAAAAGTAAATAACAACTTAAAATTCAATAATATAACTTGCAACTTTAGAGTTAATTTATTCGAATACGACAAAAATATACATAAATCATAAATAAGCTATATGAACATAATAAAGTCTTAAAGCTAATTTGTTTAACAAAACAATCTTCTTGAAATCCAAACAACTTCAATAATCTTCGTAACATATTCAACTTGCCCTCTGTTCGAACATAAAAGAACGAACATATAATCGAATGTTCACGAACGTAAATGAACGAACGAGCCCTTTGTTCGTGTTCGTTCATTTAATTAAACGAACGCAAAATCTTGTTCATGTTCGTTCATTTAATAAATAAACGAACTTCCCGCCGCACGATTCATGAACGATTCGCCGAACGTTCAGTTCATTTACAGGCCTAGATGGGAGATAACATTCGAGTCAGGTCCATAAAACTTGTCTGACCCTTCTTGATCCTAACACACACATACTGCCATAAGGCGAAGGGCATGTGATTGTGAATGAAGTTTCAATAAAAATCCAATCTTAAATACTGCAAACCCCCTTCGCCACCTTCACCAAACGCATCAGAGCCCTTTCTCTTTTCAAGTTCATTGATATTTTTTATGACAATCTTCCGAAAGAAACTTTGTAAGAAAAAAAAAATCTCATTTGGTATTTTGTTGTTTACATGTAAGGGGAAAAATATAGAATATATTCACAAGCCATGCTTATCAAGGAAAGACAATCCCTCTAACAATATACAAGTGAAAGATATTTCTCTTTAATCAAACTTTTTAATGGGTCAAATTGACACAATATGACTGAAGGGTATTTTCTAAAATTTAATTATTTTATTTTTCACTCAATCTTGCGGTGACAAGTTTCACCATCGAATTAGATGAAAAAATAGTCAAAAATATACTCGAACCTGAATCTTTTGAAATATATATATGTGCATTTAAAGTGAGGTAGACGTAGACCCATTACTTATTTTGAAATGCATCATTTAAGATACAAAATATTGTAACGAATGGCAGAAAATAAGAAAGTAGACATGAAAAATAATAGAAACGAGCGAAATGCGACTCGAATCTTGACTTTTCGGAACATATTTCAGCAACAAAACCACCAAGAGTTCTAAAATTCATCATTTTAAATAACATAATGTTACTAATCACAGAAAAATAAAGTAACAATTTTAAATCTTTTATTAATGATTTATATATAATCATTAAATTAATTTTTTAACTTAAGTAATAATTTTAATTTTTATCAATAATTTCATATATATATATCAAATTATTTTTATTAAAAATATTTAAAAACAAACTATTTAATAAAGTTAACAACAATTTATATATAATCATTAAATTAATTTTTTTAACTTAAGTAATAATTTTGTATATTTTAAGTTAATTTTTTATTAAAAATATATGA